TTGCGCAGTGCGAAGGACCAACCTGAAATTTTAGCTGCTAAACTTGAGAAAGAATGGTGCGCTGGGAGAATTGTAGGTCCATTTTCTCGTCCACCTTTTGATAATTTTATTTCTTCACCTTTAGGCGTAGTTCCAAAGAAAACCCCAGGGGAATTTCGTATTATACACCATTTGTCATACCCAGATGGCTCGTCGGTGAATGATTTTATTCCGGACCAATTTTCGTCGGTTCAATACGCTTCAATAGGTGATGCTATTACACTCATTAAGTCGTTATGTAGGGGCTGCTACATGGCCAAGACCGATATAAAATCAGCTTTCCGCATTATTCCGATTCACCCTGACGATTACCATTTACTGGGTATGACATGGAATAATTCGTACTTTTTTGACCGGTGTCTGCCCATGGGCTGTTCTTCGTCTTGCGCTATATTTGAAGCTTTTAGCACTGCGCTCGAGTGGCTTGCTAAACATTATCTCTGTGTTTCCGGTGTTTTGCATATTTTGGATGATTTCTTGTTTATTGCTACCTCTCAAGGCAAATGTGCCTCCGATTTAAACAACTTTTTGAGCCTATGTGATTGTTTAGGGGTACCTATAGCACATGAAAAAACGGAAGGTCCTTCAACCACTTTACAGTTTGCTGGGATAACACTCGACACGATTAATATGGAAGCACGTCTGCCAGACGATAAGCTTCAAAAATGCAATGCTCAGTTATTGGACATGCACAGACGCCGTAAAACTACCCTGAAAGAACTTCAATCTTTGATTGGATTATTAAATTTTACTTGTTCAGTTGTTCTACCTGGTCGGGCCTTTCTTCGGCGGCTTGTTGATCTCACAAAGGGTGTCCGTCTCCCTCGCCATCGTATACGGATTACTGAAGCCTGTCGTCGAGATTTTTTGGTATGGCTTCAATTTTTAAGAGATTTTAACGGCCGTACATTTTTTCTGGACGAACCGTGGCAGGTTTCACCGCCTCTCAACCTTTACACCGACGCCGCCGGCTCAAAGGGCTATGGCGCACTTTTTGGGAAACATTGGTTTTACGGAGAATGGCCTGCCAATTGGAAATCATTGAACATTGCATTTTTGGAGCTCTTTCCGATTACTACCTCGCTCCACGTGTGGGCATGTCAAATGAGCAATAAATGTGTCTCTCTGTTTACTGATAATGCGGCTTTGGTTGACATTATCAATAAGCAGACTTCAAAACACCCCATGATCATGATCTTAGTCCGTGACCTTGTCCTAACATCACTACGTCATAATATTTTGTTTCGGGCTTATCATATACCCGGTGTTGACAATACCCGGGCGGACTTAATTTCTCGTTTACAGATTGTAGATTTCAGGAAAGCATTCCCAGATGCCGACCCAGAGCCAACTCTTGTTCCCGAGACCCTTCTCCCGCAGAAGTGGTCGATACGTTAAAGGAATTACTACATTCCTCATTGTCGGAGCAGTCTCGCAAACAATACTCGCGTGCTTGGGTTGTCTTTACTGAATTCTATACCCGCTATCAGGGTGCCGATTTACATTTGCCTGTTTCGACAGCGTGTATCGCATTATTCATTTCCTTTTTATGTGCCAAGGGCCTTGCTCCTGCTACCATAAACTCGTACCTATCAGCAATAGCATATGTACATAAGATCAAAGGCCACTACGACCCGACCAAATCATTTTTAGTTGAAAAGCTTCTTGTGGCCGTTGGCCGCCGTGGTCAAGCCGATGTTCGTATGCCCATTTCACGTCCATTATTGTACGAATTAGTTAGAGCTTTACAGCATACTAGCCCATCTGCCTATCGTAGATCTCTGTTCGGGGCAATGTTCATGACAGCATTTTATGGTTTCTTCAGAATAGGTGAATTATCTTGCAATAGTAAACAGCAAGTTGACACCGTTGTGCAATTTGATCAAGTCACTTTTTTGAAACAATCTTCTCGAGTGACGGCTGTCAAGATTGTGATCACTAAGTTTAAACACAACACGAATAATCGGCCGTTTGTCATAACAATAGAAAGCGAACCTTCAGAAACGTTTTGCCCCGTGCAGACCTTAATCGACTACATTAAACTTAGGGGTTACCATAAAGGCCCCTTGTTCACGTGTGCAGCCGGCGGGGCAATCTCGACAATTAATTTTAACACTGAGCTCCGTCGTGCTTTGAACTTTTGCGGCCTTGATTGTTCTCGCTACAAGAGCCATAGCTTTCGCATTGGTGCAGCGTGCCATGCGTCTGAGAAAGGTTTTTCGGATTCGCAAATACGTGCCCTAGGTAGATGGAGTTCGGACGCTTTTAGAACTTACATTCGTCCGCCTTCACTTAAGGCTAACTAATTGTTTTTAAACGTTTCAAAGACACTAGTCAAGCCGCGGTTGGATCTCCGTTGTATAGGTCAGTCAGGAGCTGCCATGCAGTGGTGATTTTCACTACGGCTATTTAAACATCCATTATGGGACCAGTATTTTTTGTCTTCATCTCTGGTTAGCTT